AGTGAGAAACAAAAGTGCCCAACACCACTCATACCAATCCCCTCCAATCTTTACCTTCTCTTAAAACCACCTGGTTGTTGATTGGTGCTACCCGTAGAAGTGTGCTTCACATGAAAACAGTTAGAATAGGACTAACAACAAAAAAAGTAATTTTTCATATGCTAAACAGATGAATCAGTGCACTTAGTTTGCCAATAACTTAATGTGTTTTCTCCTATTTCCTTGCACAAGTGTAAAAGCTTAAGCCAAATTTTTTAAAGCTCCCAACACCTCATCAAACACAACAGAAAACAATAATCTGCAAAAACAAAAAAACCAAACCCTATCACAACTGCAGAACAGTCATTCTTCTTCACAACTCCTTCCTGACCCAGTTATCTGTCACATCCACTGGTTACACACCACATTTAACCTGCTCACCGCCTTTAAATCTAGTCTAGTTTCTACAGCACCTCGCTGAATGTGAACCTGCCTGATAGAGTATAAGCACTACCACAAAATAAATATAGATTCTTTCAGTCCCAAACCTTACATGCCAATGTGACCTTACAGCTGAACCAGCAAACAAAAAAGAGTAACAATGTTCAATTTGTGTTAAACAGGACTCTTCACTGGTCAGCCAAGGATGAGGAAGTCATGGTTGGATTAAACATTACAGAGCTGCAACTGCTGTAAAAACTACTGAGATATGCACGTGTCTATAAAGCTGTGGTGGTGGAAATACATTTTGCAGGAAATATCCAACCAACTGCATGCTGCCAGGATGGCAGCTGCATGTGCCTTACTGAAATGTAGTGTATTTCTTCATTTCTTTCAGATCTGAAGAACTAGTAAATCCTCAATGACTATGAGAAAAGTAAAAAATAATTTTGGACAAATATCCTAAATGTTAAGATGTGGGAAAAATTACTTGTCACCATCCTCATTTAAAAAAAAACAACACTTTAGGTTCATGTAAATTTTTAAGACTTAAGGCATCAGTATCTTGCAAACCTTTATGCATAATTTTTTAGAATCTTTTTAATATTTCCAACTGAAGCAACAGATAATAGAAGTTTTCCTGTCAGCTTCACTCACTCGCCCATTCCAAAAAAAGGAGTTACCAATATAATTTTCATTAGATTAGTAAAAAAATACAAATAATAATAATAAAACCAAACACACACACCCCCCCCAAAAGGCAAAAGAGTTTGGGTACCAATTAAAATGCCATGAAGAAAAGGCAAAGTCAGCCTCCATTTCTACCTTGTAAAACTCCAGCAACACTTATTTGCATATGTTAAGGAGTATGTGAATGGTATTAAAAAAGTCAAAACCAAAATAAAAAGCCCATTAAATTCAGGATTATTTTGCCCTAAACCACTAGCATATGATGCATACACTCATAAATACTGAGGATGTAAACACTGAGTCTACATCATGCTCTTGTCACTGTCTGGTAACAAACACTACAGGTCACCTTATGTCTTCTCCAGCTAATCTGAACACCCTCTGGTACAGAAAGCAAAATATATAGAGAGTAAAATGTATGTAATTAATTCTTGTAGTCCAACAAAAATATTGACAAGCAATTACAGGACTTCAGCACACAAACATTTGTTGGTGTTACAAAGGCTAACACATCATTAAGAGAACACTGTAGAAAACACAGAATAGAAAGGCTTAAAAAACTTGCATCAAAAACCCCAACTAATAAACACATTTATCAATAACATCAAAAGTGAATTTTAATTTTTTCAAAACAGAATTATTTAAGAACATTCTAATTTGTCAAGGCACATAGGGTAGTTAAGTGTGTAAACAAGCAGTTTCCTTGTTTACTGATGTTATTACAAATGTTTATAAAATAGATTCAAACTTTCAAAGGATTAATGGAAAATGAAAATAATGTCTAAAGGCAATTCTGCATCTTAGAAAAAGGTACTCAAGTCAGCTAAACTACTTTAGAGATTAAGAACATAAAAAAAATTTCAAAAAGCAAGTCCTGTGTAGAAATCAGTTAAGGAGCAGCACTGGAGAGAAATGCTGACCAACCGACTTCTTTCTCCCCTTGCATGTAGACAGCATCACCATAATTTGTGTCCAAGTGACAACTCATACTGACAAATTTGCAGAATTAGGCTCTAACTAAGGATCTAATAAAGTGAAGACTAGCACAACCGCCTTAGATTTGAGTATTAAATACTTAAATATTAATACTAAAATGTCTCAATACTTTTTACTGATAAAGACAACTGCTAGAGGACAAGGAAAATCTTCAGAAATCATAACCACTGAGCTGGGAAAAAGTCCTCTCAAGATCTACTCTGCAGTTTATCCTCTTGCAAGTAAGCAAGCGTGCATGCAACATTACTGCTT